AAAAAAAAAAAAAAAAGACTGAGCCACCCAGGCACCCCTCATTCATTCAGTCTTGAACTGAAAAAAAAAAAAAAATTCCAAACACAGTTTTCAAGGCTACTAAAAGCAGACCTAGATCCTTTTGGGGGGAAAAATCCATTTTTTTCAGGTCACCTGCAAACAGCTTCCCAACCCCTATAAAAAAAAAAAAAAAAACTCTGGCTTCTAAACTAAATACATTTTCCTTGGCTTTGTAGCAAAAAAAAAAAAAAAAACAGCTAATGATTTTGTTTAATGTATAGACCTTTCTCTGAATTAAAAAAAAAAAAAAAATATTAAATAATATGTAGGTGTCTACCCTCTTTATAACCTTTCTAAAAAAAAAAAAAAAAACTTCAACTTTTAAAAAAAAATTATTTTTTAATTAACATGTAAAAAAAAAAAAAAAAAACAGGTAGAGGTCAGTGATTCATCAGTCTTATATAACACTCAGTGCTCATTACATCACGTGCCCTCTTTAATGTCCATCAGCCAGTTACCCCATCCCCCCACCAAAAAAAAAAAAAAAAACCCTCCGCTTGTTTGCTATGATTAAGAATTTCTTATGGTTGGAAAAAAAAAAAAAAATAAGCAAGACATAAAAAACACAAATATAAAGGAAATGGCAAATAAATTTGACTAAATAAAAATGCCATGACAAGAATAAACCAGTAAGCCAAAAAATGGAAGAAAAAAAAAAAAAAAAATATAACCAACAAAGGACTACTAGGCAGGATATGTATTTAAAAAAAAAAAAAAAAAAAAGTGGCTCAGTTGTTAAGCGTCTGCCTTTGGCTCAGGTCATGATCAAAAAAAAAAAAAAACGAGCCCCACATTGGGCTTCCTGCTCAGTGGGAAGCCTGCTTCTAAAAAAAAAAAAAAACCTGCTTGTGCTCCCTCTCTCGCTGTGTCTCTGTCAAATAAATAAAAAAAAAAAAAAAAAAAAAATTGGGGTGCCTGGGTGGCTCAGTCGTTAAGCATCTGCCAAAAAAAAAAAAAAAGATCCCAGGGTCCTGGGATTGAGCCCCACATCGGACTCCCTGCTAAAAAAAAAAAAAAATTCTCCCACTCCCGCTCCCCCTGCTTGTGTTCTCTCTCTTGCTGAAAAAAAAAAAAAAATAAATAAAATCTTAAAAAAAAAAAAATTCCCACAAAAAGAAAACAAAAAAAAAAAAAAAAAACCAAACACAAAAAAATGGCAACAAAGTTAGAGAAAATTTGTAAGGGAGGATGGCCTATAAATAAAAACATGTTCAACCTCATGGGTGATCAAGAAAATCCCATAGCATCATTGTCCATAATAGCCTCAAGCTAAAACAACCCAAATGTCTATCAACAGAAAAAAAAAAAAAAAAACTGTGGTATATTCATACAATGGATATCTATACACTTGACAGTAAAAAAAAAAAAAAAACAATAGCCACATATATAAATATGGATGAATCACAAGTCACAAAAAAAAAAAAAAAAAAAGATGCCATTTACATAAAATTCTAAATAAAGGAAGAAAAATCTTTAAAAAAAAAAAAAAAGCTGCATAATGCGTGGTACGAAAAACACAAGGAAAAAGCAGAAAAAAAAAAAAAAAAAAACCATCACTTGAGACTGATCATCTTGGGGCAGGGAGGGAGGGAAAAAAAAAAAAAAAAATCTTCAGGATGTATAAATATATTATTTCTTAACCTGGGTGATAAAAAAAAAAAAAAAAAGAAATATATTTGCATATTTTAGAAGCCTTTCTATCGGTATAATGTATATCACTAAAAACAGACAGAGTGCTTACGACTTAACCCTAGGAGCTGTAAAGAACCTAAAAAAAAAAAAAAAAGATAATGAGGTAGGAAAAAGTCAGGAGAGTGGTACTGCAGAAGCCAAGAGAAAAAAAGAAGGGAATAGTGAACCACGTCAAATATTAGTGAGAAGCAGAGTAAACATTCACATAATACTCAAAAAAGTATTATTATTCTCTATTGATGAATCAGTTATCTTAAGATGTAGACATTACTTTGCAACGAGATTTATTAAAGTAATAAAAAAGGATGTTAATATTCTGACATTTTATATTCAGAAACCAAAATTCTTGAACATATTTTTAAAATGTCCTCCTAAAAAAAAAAAAAAAATTAATTACATCAACAGTATATATTCAATTATTGGAATAAGTCCAGTTCTGCATTTGATAGCCATGTTTTGGTAAACTTGAATGACAGCCTCAATTACTATCATGTATTACTGAAATTGTGATTACAAAGACCTTTGGGCTCTGCCAAATCAGACATACTAAAAAAAAAAAAAAAAAAAATATTATAACACAAAAATCTGGTTAGACCAAGACAAAAACTTAAAAAAAAAAAAAAAATGAACTGAACTAGTCACTTGGCTTTTCCAGTTATAAATAACAAAAAGTTTTTACTTGAAAATAAAGTTACAAACTATTTTCCAGAAAATTCTGGACATTTGGCTAAGGATTCCTTTTTCTCACCTGTAAAATAAAGATGGACTAAATACCACTTAAGGTCTCAATGAGCAATATTTCATGGTGTCATTTGGGAAAGGGAAACCAATCACAATGGGTAATAAAAAAAAAAAAAAAATCTAGATAATAAACCACACTTTTGAGGGTTGCAAAACCAAAAAGAAAAAAAAAAAAAAATAATGATATATCCAACTGAGCCATCCACTGTTTCTTCCTTTTCTGTTTTAAAAGTATAAATCTACTGATAACTAATTTTAAATAAAAGAAAAAAGCTCTTAAAAAAAAAAAAAAAAAAGACAATTCAGAAGGCTGTATTTTTATTAATGAAAAATGCAACTTTACACAAATTTAAGGTAGACAGTTCTGATATTTAAAAAACCAAACAAAATAAAATAAATAAAAAAAAAAAAAAAGAAGAGGATTTCTATGGGATTATGCCATTTACATAAAAGGCACTAAAAAAAAAAAAAAATTTAAAATACCACTACTTGAAAAAAGTATTTCTCTCAAGAGCACATATATCAATATTCTGTGGCTATAAATCAACCCATTCATAGCAATGTTAATATGTAAGAAAAAAAAAAAAAAAAAAATGGTTGTATGGCTTATAAAAGAATGTGTAAGATTAATGCTAGAAAATAAATTTTTAACTCAATTTTAGATATTCATTTGTTTTGCCAACTAGTAGAATCTAAAAAAAAAAAAAAATAATTAATGGACACATTCTGTTACAAGACTTTTTTCTTTCCTTTAGAAATTCTGAGAGAATCCAAGAAGAAAAAGGATGATATACATGGATTAATAAACTTGTAAATTCAGAAAACTTGCTTTGTACCCAAAATGGAACTACTCACCAAAAGCAGCAGCCATAGGGGGTTCAAGAGATGGCTGTCCATCACCAGTAGGAAGGTCTAAACGAGTGAAGTCTCTGCTTTTGTCATTATTATATTTCACATTAAGGCTGGTGAGCTTGGAGAAGTCAATACGCAGAGTGCAGCATGCATTATAGATATTCTGGCCATCCAGAGCCTAAAGCATGTAAGAAAGGGACTGATGTTTTGCAAGACAACAACACTGATAAATCAAGTAGTCTCTACTTTGACACAAAAAAAAAAAAAAAAGTAAAGCAGAGAGCAATGGACTACAAGCCAAGGACCTGTGTTTACTTTTACCTCTGTCACTCACTATGTAAACATGAGAGGGAAAAAGAAAATCTCAGTTTTCACAATGTTATAATAATCCCTATCTTGTCTGTGGTAAGATCAAATGAAAGAAGAGAAATGAAAAAAAAAAAAAAAATATCATACATTATTGAGCATCGTACTAGCTATCATTATGATTAAAAAAAAAAAAAAAACTGTTTAAAGATGATGTGATTTTATATTTCATCTTAATTTTTTAAAAAAAAAAAAAAAAGTTAAGATGAAATAAAGCCTTTGTAAAGGGAATTTGTCAGAACCAAAAAAAAAAAAAAATCTATCTCGTTTTTTTCTTCTTGTAAATTTATTTTATAATAGTTAAAAAAAAAAAAAAAGGGAAATTTTGCAGTCAGTTCTGATACAAGACCAAAGATCAGCAATCCCTCCCTTCACAATAATGAAAACTTATCAAAGGGGTATTTGTAGCCACTTGACTTCCACAAATGCTCAAATTTGTAAAAACAGAAATCAGAAACCAAAACATATACGAAAATGCAAAAAAAAAAAAAAAACTTATAATAACAGTTACTGATGAGTACATCATAATGGTATAAAAAAAAAAAAAAAAAAAAAGGGTACCAGCAAATATAAAGTCTATATTCCTAATCAAGAGGTAAAAAAAAAAAAAAAAACTACTAAAAACCTTAGTCCCTATCTTTGAAAAGAAATTAGAAAAAAAAAAAAAAAAAATACAAGACAGAATTAGGGTTAGGAATAGATCTCAGTAGGACATAAAAAAAAAAAAAAAAAATTGAATATGAAATTTTGTATCTTGTCAAAAGTCAAGCACTCAAAAAAAAAAAAAAAAAAAAGACAATATAAACCAATAGCAGCAAACTTCCTAAAATGTAAAAAAAAAAAAAAAACAGAGCTCAACAAAATTCAATAGTAAATATGGTTACAAAAATAGTGGAATCAACCAATCTTTGGGCTAATTTAATAGAAGAAAATGAAAACACAAAGACAAAGGTAATTCTACTCTATTAGTCAGATTTTATCAGGAATACTGTGCCCCACTCTAGACTTTAAAAAAAAAAAAAAAAAGAGCCAAGGATCTGAGAAGTGATAAATGATCTGAAACCATTTCAAAAAAAAAAAAAAATTTTTAGCTTATTATTTTAAAAAGCATATGGAACAGTACATTTAAAAAAAAAAAAAAAAATATTATGTATACTATAATTAAAAACATAATGAACTGCAAGGGAAAAAAAAAAAAAAAATTCTTTGGTATCACTGAAGTGACTGATTAACAAATGAAAAATGAAAAAAAAAAAAAAAAACCATTTTGGCATAATGTGCATTCACTGGGTCAGCATACTGAAGCAAGGCTTGAAACTGATTATTCTTTGTAAAGGTGATAATCTTCAAGACTGTGCCAAATTAAAAAAAAAAAAAAAAAAAGTTCACATTAGGTTAAATCTAAGGAAAATAATGGCTAATGTACCTTTATAAATACAACTCGATTCATGAATTCCATTTTTAATGAAAATAATTTCCTCTAAAAAAAAAAAAAAAACAGGGACTCCTGGGTGGCTCAGTTGGTTAAGCGACTGCCTTCGGCTCAGGTCATGATCCTGGAGTCCTGGGATCGAGCCCCACATCGGGCTCCTTGCTCAGCAAAAAAAAAAAAAAACCCTCTCCCTGCAGCTCCCCCTGTTGTGCTCGCTCGCTCTCTCTAAAAAAAAAAAAAAAAAAATCTTAAACAAACAAAAAAACTGTTGGTACAAAAATGACTTAAAACCGTGCATGGCTTAAAACAGTGCCTGACACAGTGCCTGACAACAGGCACTCAAGTATTTAACCTATTTTACAGTATGTCATAAATGGCACAGTACTAAAAACATGATACTACAAAAAAAAAAAAAAAAATGAGATAATGGTGTTACAAAGTTACAAAATGAATAAAGTGGAAGAAAAAAAAAAAAAAAATTTCACCTTGAGAATCACCATCTATTTCTCGAGATTTTTACAGGCAGAGAAACTCAAAATGTTCCTCTAGAGGCTGCTCTATTAATTCATTCAATATTCACAAAAAAAAAAAAAAAACCCTGGAAAATCAGCGGTGAATAACAAGAGTCTCTGCCCTGAGAAAAAAAAAAAAAAAAAATAAACAACATAATGTCTCATCATAAAAAAGTGTTATGAATAAAAAAAAAAAAAAAAAGCATGAGAGTGAATTGGAATGCAAGTTGGGAAGGCGCAAGAATGAAAAAAAAAAAAAAATCCGAAGTGTCTTTGGAAAAGAGGAATAAACAGAGTGTGGGGAAGATTTCCTGACAGATCCCTGGCTACCAATGCTCTTAAAATACTTCCTCTATTCCACCACCACAAAGGCTCCTGGCCAGGGTTACTACAATGCACTTTGTTTTCCCCTGACATCCCAACAAAAAAAAAAAAAAACCTGAGCCAGAAATCTAACCTTCTACTTCTAAAAACAAAAGGTAAGTATTCCCTATGTTGGTTAAGAATTTGCTATTATCAAATACTATCTATGAGTGTCCTTAAAAAAAAAAAAAAAGTCCCTTGTATTTATCACAAAGAGTGATCAAGAATAAATACTCTAAGAGTGCCTGGGTGGCTGAGTCAGTTAAGCATCCGACTCTTGATTGTGGCTCAAGTCCCGCATGGGGCTCTGCACTCAACGGGTCAGTGGGGAGTATGCTTGGGATTCCCTCTCTCAAAAAAAAAAAAAAAAATGAATGCATGAATGCATGAATGAATGAATGAATAAATAAAATCAAAAAAAAAAAAAAATTACCCTAAAGCACAGGCAACAAAAAGAAAAAATAGGTAAATTCTACTTCATCAAAATGTAAAACTTTTGTGCTCAAAAGACACTATCAGATACAGAGCAAAAAAAAAAAAAAAAAAACGGGAGATAGTATCTATAAATCATACACCTGATAAGGTATTAAAAAAAAAAAAAAAAAAACTGTTATAATTCAGCAACAAAAATAATCCAATATAAAAATCAGAAAAAAAAAAAAAAAGCCAATAAACACATGAAAAGATCCTCAACATCACTAATCATTAGAAAAAAAAAAAAAAAAACTCAATGAGATACCACTTCACACCCATTAGGACAGCTATTATAAAAAAAAAAAAAAAACAAAAAACATCAGTAATAAATAACATGATGTCTCATCATAAGAAAAAAAAAAAAAAAAAAATAAAAGGAAAGGGATGAGAAATATCAAGTGTTGGGGAGGATGTGGAGAAAATAGAACCCTTGTGCACTATTGGCGGGAATGTAAAATGGTGTAGCTGCTATGGAAAATAGTATGGTGGTGCTTCAAAGAAATAAAAAATACAATTACCATATGATCCAAAAAAAAAAAAAAAAAGTATAAACCCTAAAGAACTGAGAGCAGGGATTCAAAGAGCTATCAAAAAAAAAAAAAAAACAAAAGCCTTATTTGCAAAAGATGGACGCGGCCTAAATGTCCAAAAAAAAAAAAAAAACAAATACATACAACGGAATATTACTTAGCCTTTAAAAGGAAGGAAAAAAAAAAAAAAAATACAACATGGATGAACCTCAAAGACATTTAAGTGAAATATGCCAAAAAAAAAAAAAAAAATTATGCATGATTCCACTTACATGAGTAATCTAGAACAGTCAAATTCACAGAGACAGCAAGTAGAATTGTAGTTACCAGGGGCTGAGAAAGGGGGAATGGGGAATTATTGTTTAATGGGTTTCAGTTTAAGAAGATAAAAAAATTTCTGGAGATATGTTTGGAAAAAAAAAAAAAAAAATGTGAGTGTACTTAATGTCACTGAACCACACACTTAAAAGTGAAAAAAAAAAAAAAATTTATACATATTTTAAACTTCTCAAAATTAAATAAATAAAGTAAAAACTATCCTAAAGTCCACATACTATTTTTTGAGAAAATATTCTTTAACATATTATCAGCTCAGAGTCAGACACTTCTTAGAGCAGATAACAGCATTCAACAAGATTTGTGGAACCAATTTGTCTTAGAAGGGTTAACCAAAAAATGTTATTACTTAAAATTAGATAGTCTAAGGGTTCTTTATTGAAATTCTTTAAAAATGTAGCTATTTAATTATGTTCATATTTAGAACTTTGGGATCTTATCTCTCTCATTTGGCTATTTTGAAAAACATAAGGAATTTGTTTTTGTATTTTTAATGAAAATTTTAGTCCTGTAACAGGCATTTCCTCAGTACACTTGTGTGTCCTAGATAAAAAAAAAAAAAAATATAAAAGAATACCAAATTGCTATTATCAAATACTATCTGTGAGAAAAAAAAAAAAAAAAATGGTCCTCCCTTTCTTTTTTTTTTAAAGATTTTGTTTATTTAAAAAAAAAAAAAAAACACAGCGAGAGAGGGAACACAAGCAGGGGGAGTGGGAGAGGAAGAAGCAGGCTCTCCGCTGAGCAGGGAGCCCAATGTGGGGCTCGATCCCAGGACCCTGGGATCATGACCTGAGCCGAAGGCAGACACTTAACAACTGAGCCACCCAGGCGTCCCATGGTCCTCCCTTTTTAATTGGGACGCCTGGGTGGCTCAATCAGTTAAGTGTCTGCCTTCAGCTCAGGACATGATCTCGGGGTCCTGATCAAGCCCAGTGGTAGGTTCCCTGCTCAGCAGGGAGTCTGCTTCTTTGTCCCCCGCCACTCATGCTGTCTCTCTCTCAAATAAATAAATAAAATCAAAAAAAAAAAAAAAAAAAAAGGAATACCAAATTTGCCTTCTTCTCAGCTGACTGTCAAATATAGATTTTATGTTGTATGTTTCTTCAAGATACAAGCATTCTTGGGAAAACGTCTTGAAAAAAAAAAAAAAACTTTGGTGATACTATGGTCAGACACACACACATCCCAATCTAAAAAAAAAAAAAAAAAAAACTGAGTGTTGGCTAAAGGATTAGTAATAGACTTTTTACTGCAAAAAAAAAAAAAAAACTAAAGTACAAGATTATATCATATATAATTTTGCCCTGGTGTACAAAAAAAAAAAAAAATCCTGATATTTTATATCACACTATTTACACCAACATGCAGTTGTAAAAAAAAAAAAAAATATGCCAAGTGGTTTCAAACTTCTAAGCCTACACATGTGGGTGTTCCCTTTTCTTAGAACTCTGTGCCTACCCTAGTACATTTTCATTTATCTTTTCCAAAACTCAGCTCAAAAGTAATGCCACCAGAAAATTCTCTGCCTCTCCCAAATATCAACAGAATTAATTCTCTTTCCTGAATATGCCCTTCTTGGTCTCGTATATAAATATTTATTTTGTTTTAAAAAAAAAAAAAAAAACATTTGTTTACTATCTGTCTCCTTTAATTAGACTTGAAAGCTCCTTGAAGACATACACCTAGTCTTAATCATTTCTGTATCACTGAGTACAATTCTTGGCATAAAAAAAAAAAAAAAATAAATGCTTAACTGATAAAGAATTACACTCAGATCTGCTTGGAAAAAAAAAAAAAAAAGCAGTTTTTTTATTTTTTTATTTTTTTTATTTTTTAAAGATTTTAAAAAAAAAAAAAAAAGAGAGAGAATGAGAGATAGTACGAGAGAGAAGAGGGTCAGAGGAAAAAAAAAAAAAAATGCCGAGCAGGGAGCCCGATGCGGGACTCGATCCCGGGACTCCAAAAAAAAAAAAAAAACCGAAGGCAGTCGCTTAACCAACTGAGCCACCCAGGCGCCCAAAAAAAAAAAAAAAAAAAAACAATAAACACTGGGACGGCTGGGTGGCTCAGCTGGTTAAGCATCTGCCTTCAGCTCAGGTCATGATCCCAGGATCCTGGGATCGAGCCCCGCATTGGGCTCCTTGCTCAGCAGGGAGTCTGCTTCTCCCTCTGCCTGCTGCTTCCCCTGCTTGTGTTCTAAAAAAAAAAAAAAAAAATAAAATCTTAAAAAAATAAACATTTTTGATGTAAAATATCTAAAAAAAAAAAAAAAAAAATCATACAATTTGTTCTCAAATTTGGAATAATTTTACACTAAATTATGCATAGAACCTACTTAATTTTCACCCAACTTTCAGATTTTATTAATGTTTACATTCTTTGTCTCATTTAACTTGAACACCACCGTGATGTACATCCTCTCTGACTGCTGTCTAAAAAAAAAAAAAAAAACTGAATGTGCTAACAGAATATAAATGGACTGAACTGGCTAAGAAAAAAAAAAAAAAAATCTAGAGTCCCCTGGACTGTATTTGCTGAGAGAGGAACTACAAAAAAAAAAAAAAAAATTTTTTTTTTTAAAGATTTTATTTATTTATTTGGCAGAGAGAGAAAAAAAAAAAAAAAAGGCAGGCAGAGGGAGAGGGAGAAGCAGACTCCCTGCTGAGCAGGGATCCCGATGCGGGGCTCGATCCCAAGACCCTGGGATTATGACCTGAGCAGAAGGCACCCATTAACCAACTGAGCCACCCAGGCGCCCCCAATCTGATACTTTTGAATAAAGTAAGTGAGGACCAACATCAGGGAATCCCGGCTAATGCCTCAAGTGTGATTTTTAACATCTTTTCAAAAAAAAAAAAAAAATAAATTTTAAACAAATTTGGTCTCATAAGATTAACATTCAGGAAAAAAAAAAAAAAAAAGATTTATTAGTATTGATTACAATAATAATTTGACTCTTTGACTCTATTTCCCTAATATATTTATTTTGCTGTCATAAACATAAACAAACACAAAGACTAAACTAAAAAAAAAAAAAAAGCATTTTAATCTTTTCAAACTTTAAAATGGGATGAAGAGAATACTGAAGATCAAAGTCAGGTAAAATTAATCTTCATGGTGATTTTTATAAACGTGGCACTTAAAAAAAAAAAAAAAAAGTTCATTTGTATTCACTGTAAAAAGTGTATTGGCCATAATTTAAAAAAAAAAAAAAAACCAACAAAACAGTAAGACTTAAGAACCAGAATTTTATATTGCTAAAAAAAAAAAAAAAAGTATCATAATAATTGCTTTCTGCAAGTTATTTTTCTTTGTTCTGAAAAAAAAAAAAAAAAGTCCTTTATCCCAAAGATATTCATCTATTGGACATTCACAAAAAAAAAAAAAAAAAAACAGTACTTGGAAGTAATGGATTATATGAGAACATTGTTTTGAACAAAAAAAAAAAAAAAAGAAATTTTTTAGTATGCAGGGTTGAATTTACATTATGGATCAGTTGATAAATGCCTTCTTTAGCTACAAATACTCTATAGGTGATGCCATCTAATCCAATGGTTTTAATTACCACCCATATGCTGATGATAACCAAATCTCCAGCCCTGAATTCTTACACCCAATCCAGACTTATTTCCCAACTGTCTATTCAACATCTGCCACTTGGATGCCTAATAGAAAAAAAAAAAAAAAAAACACTACCTCCCACCCCTGCCCCAAATCTTTTTGCCCCTTCATAAAAAAAAAAAAAAATTAGTACAAGATCGCTGTATCAGAGGCTCACACCCAAAATTTGGAAGGCATTCTTGATTACTCCTCCTTTTCTTCATAATCTATAAGTACTCAACCCATCAGCAAAAAAAAAAAAAAACATCCATAATCATCACTTCCTGTGACCACATCCTCATGTGGGTCAAAAAAAAAAAAAAAATCTGTATGCCAAGATCGTCCACTTATGCCTACAGTTTATTCTTAAAAAAAAAAAAAAAGTGATTCCATTGAGACATAAATCTATCATTTTACTCCTTTCCTCAAAAAAAAAAAAAAACTTCCCATCAGCTGGATCCTAACCCCTTCTCTGACTCTTATCATAAAAAAAAAAAAAAATTTTTACACTACAATGACATAGCCTCATTTCTGATATCTCAACAAAAAAAAAAAAAAAACACTTTAGGGACTTTGCACCTCCTGTTCCTCCTGTTCTTTCTAAAAAAAAAAAAAAAAAACCACATGTACACATAACTTATACCCTCACATACTTCAAGCCTCAAAAAAAAAAAAAAATTGAAAAGCTCCCTTAACTTTCCTCATCTGAAATAACACTGCTTAAAAAAAAAAAAAAAAATCCCCTTACCAAGAGCTAAAGAAAAAACACTAACTTCAATAAAAAAAAAAAAAAAAAGAAGCTAATGCTAATTCTTCAGCAAAAAGTATAAAATAATCTGCAAAAAAAAAAAAAAAGAAGCAACCAAAGCCACACTTCCATGTATTCCTCCATCACAATAAAAAAAAAAAAAAAAGCTATTACCTATGAAATTATACCTTACGTAAAGGACAGTAAGAGAAAAAAAAAAAAAAATACAATGCAATTACCTACCATCTGATAATTACAGCTAATATTTTTTGAGTACTTAATATGTACCTTTCTAATATATACCTTAATATATACACTTCTCTAGGGGAAAAAAAAAAAAAAAAGAAAAAGATACAGAGAAGGTAAGTTACTTGCCCAGAGTTATAGAGATAGTAAGTGATAGAGCCAGGATTCAAACCAGCTCCAGACCTTGTATCCTTAATCATAAAAAAAAAAAAAAATTTAGTTGGCTAATGATATACAGTGCTGAAGGAGAGGGCTTAATAAAAAAAAAAAAAAACTGAGGAGGTAAATTTGACCTGAAAACTGACTGATGTAGATTCAAAAAAAAAAAAAAAACAGTGAAGAGTGCTCCAGGCCTAAGAAATAGAAATGGACTAAGAAAAAAAAAAAAAAAAGAGAGGGGAAACGGTCAAAGGGCCAGAAAAGCCAGGGGCTAAATAAGCAGAAGAGTATTAGGAAATGAGGTTAAAGAGATGGGGAGAGGTCTGCATGTGGGAAAAAAAAAAAAAAAAATAAGGACTTTGGTTTTATTCCATCAGCAATGGGAAGGATTTAACAACGGAGTGCAGTAACTGCAAGTCTGAGAGTCCTACCCCCATGGTTACTACTAAGGACGCTCAGAATCACTCCTCTTCACCCTGAAGAACCCCATGATCTTTTAGGAGAGAAACAAGGAAAAAAAAAAAAAAAAGGGAAACGATAACTGGAATGATGGGACAGGACCACATGACGGTAAAAAAAAAAAAAAATATTTGATGGCAATGCTGAGCCACAGGTGCAAGAACACCTTTTGAAAAAAAAAAAAAAATAGCAGTAGCTTCAATGTTACGGTTATAAAAGCAAACAAACACTAAAAAAAAAAAAAAAAGTGTTCAGTGACACTCCTGGGATAAACAAGAGAAGAAAATCTAAAAAAAAAAAAAAAACAATCACTTAAGCAACTGCTGAACCCTTTTAAGGAATGAGGGTGAAAAAAAAAAAAAAAGTTAAAGCCCTTAAGACACACTTCACAAATACATATATTTAGAAAAAAAAAAAAAAAAAGCTATCATAGGGAACACAGAAGGCCTAATAAATGGTGTATTTTGAAAAAAAAAAAAAAAGCATGGGAACTGTATTGGGAAATATATGAGCTTTATTGCCAATTAAAAAAAAAAAAAAAGGAAAGTAACTTATTTTAAAGACCCCAGTTTCCTTACTGATAAAATGTGAGACTAGGATGGAATGCAATTCAATTCTTAAATACAGGTGCACATATACACCCCAAAAAAAAAAAAAAAAGTAGTGCGATTCCAAAGGTTTGGAAAACAGTTAAATGATTCTGAAAAAAAAAAAAAAAATGCTATGCAATATATATTGAGATATAAATATGAAAATAACATGAAAAAAAAAAAAAAAATTTTAATATATGGGTTGACAGATATAAGGAAATGGAATCAATAAAAAAAAAAAAAAAACAAAAACTAACTGCAGTTTTTGGGCTAGATGCCAATGTTCATGCAAAAAAAAAAAAAAATAACCCTACATTTTGAGGATATGTATATATGGAGTATTAGTTAAAAATATAAGAAGCATATAAAACAAAAACTGGACTTAATAATAGGAGGCTTGAGTTCTAAAAAAAAAAAAAAAAACTCTCTACAATATTCAATTAATCAATTACTGGAGTCTGTTTTATTCACTATAAAATTATGTAACTAAGTGAGATTCCAGTTCTTAAATTCAATATATTCATAGAAAAAAAAAAAAAAATGGAGTGCCTTTTACCATAACAGTCTGGACATATTAATGGGTAGAAAAAAAAAAAAAAATTGGCCATCAGTCAGCATTTAATATGATACTTCATTTTACATATAAAAAAAAAAAAAAACTTTCTGAGTTTTTAAAATGAAAATACTCATATGTAAGGAGTCAAAAAAAAAAAAAAAATTGTTTTCTACATTGATTTTACTTTCTAGGAATAACTATTACCAAAAAAAAAAAAAAAAGTCTATGCTTTGTTCATTTTCATGCTTAGGTCATGATCTTAGGGAAAAAAAAAAAAAAACCATATCAGGCTCTCTGCTCAGCAGGGAGTTTGCTTCTCCTTCTCTCTCAAATAAACAAAGTCTTTAAAAAAAAATTATCTCTAATTGATACTATTTCTTACAAAAAAAAAAAAAAAAAAGGTTTTTTTAAAAAAATTACTATTATTTAAACAAATATACCACCCAAAATCAACAACCAAAAAAACTCTAAAGATAATAAAACATCAAAAGTTAAGGGAGTAAAAAAAAAAAAAAATTTTTTTTTTTTTAAAGATTTTATTTATTTATTTGAGAGAGAGAAAAAAAAAAAAAAAAGAGGGTCAGGGTAGAAGCAGACTCCCCACCGAGCAGGGAGCCTGATGTGGGACTCGATCCCGGGACTCCAGGATCATGACCTGAGCTGAAGGCAGTCGCTTAAAAAAAAAAAAAAAAAGGGCGCCCCACGTTTACCTCTTGAGAGTATTATTCCACTTTACCTGATGAAGAACTTCCAGAGTAACAGGGTAAAAGAGGTTTTCAATAATTATTCGGAGCACAGGGCTCTGCCCAGGTAGGATTGTGCCTTCATTGGTAGGAGCTCCAGGAAGGGCCAGACTTCCCGACGGGACAGCACTGACAGCCTGCAGTGCAGCTTGGGCTCTCTATAAAATAATCAAAAAAAAAAAAAAATAGTTACATTAAAGCATTACATGAATCCTAAAATTCAGTTGATGAAAAAAAAAAAAAAAATAGTTAAATAAAAATATACATATCTACTTTCTCTAGATGCACAAAAAAAAAAAAAAAAATCAGTTAAGATTCAAAAGACTTGCTTTCTTTTAACAATGACACAAAAAAAAAAAAAAAGCTTAAATTTACTTGAAGAAATGAAAAAAAAAACACATGCCAAAAAAAAAAAAAAAAAAAGATTATTTTTATTTCCTAATTTTTTTTAAAGATTTAATTATTTATTTGAGAGAGAGGGAGAGAGAGTGTGTGTGCAAACGGGGGTGGGGTGGGGACAGAGGGAGAGGAGAGAGAGAATCCCAAGCGGACTCTGTGCCGAGCACAGAGCTGACATGGGGCTCGATCCCACGACCCATGAGATCATGACTGGAGCCAAAACAAGAGTTGAACGTTCAACTGACTGAGCCGCCCAGGAGCCCTTTTATATCCTAATTTTGAAATGACATTAAGAAAAAAAAAAAAAAAAAAAAAAAAAAAGATAACTTAAAAACCACTCAAGTTCCTCTTCCTTTTCCCTCAAAAAAAAAAAAAAATCTAATACCTTTGGGTGGCTTATGATAGATGCAAATATGGAAGAAAAAAAAAAAAAAAATTCAGAGGGGGTTAGGAATATATCCCTATAGGAAGGCATCCTGGCATGAGCATCAGAGCCAGAGCAATGTCAGGAGAACATCTAGGTGGTAGGACCGCCTGGCAAAAAAAAAAAAAAACCAAACAAGGTATGAAAGGTATCTATGTGTGGGGGTGGCTCACTGCTAGACGTAAGAACCTAAGGAATATGAGAAGGGTAAGAAAGACAACCAGAGGAGAATAAAAAAAAAAAAAAAATCAGAGCCCAAAGAGAGTCAGGAAAAGGTCCACAGAGTGTGGACAAAAAAAAAAAAAAAAGTCCAAGCTGAGTGAAGAGCAGGTCCATGAGGGCCTGAATGGGAAAAAAAAAAAAAAAATTGGTGGGGCAGCCTGGCATGAGATGTAAGAGCCCAAGCAGGGAAAAAAAAAAAAAAAGCTTCTTTTTTTTAGAAAGACAACATTTACTTATAATTAAATATAAAAAAAAAAAAAAACGCAGGCATCATTCTAAGTACTCACTATACAAATATTTTTTTTTAAAAAAAAAAAAAAATATTTATTTGACAGAGAGAGACACAGTGAGAGAGGGAACACAAGAAAAAAAAAAAAAAAAGGGAGAAGCAGGCTTCCCGCTGAGCAGGGAGCCTGATGCGGGGAAAAAAAAAAAAAAACTGCGATCATGACCTGAGCCGAAGGCAGTCGCTTAACCAACTGAAAAAAAAAAAAAAAACCTGCACTATTTTTTTTTTTAAGATTTATTTATTTGAGAGAGAGAAAAAAAAAAAAAAAGCAGGGGGATGGGCAGAGGGAGAGGGAGAAGCAGACTCCCGATGAAAAAAAAAAAAAAAGCGGGGCTCCATCCCAGGACCCCAAGATCATGACCTGAGTCCAAAAAAAAAAAAAAAAAGACTGAGCCACCCAGGCACCCCAAGGTATGTATTATTATTATTCAAAAAAAAAAAAAAAGAAAACAGTCTGAGATAAGTTAAATGATTTGTTTGGAGCCACACAGAAAACTGTAAACAGTAGCACTTGAACACAATATACTTAACGAAAATCTGAAAATGTCAAAAAAAAAAAAAAAAACCCCACTTCTGTCAGACTCCTGGAAAGGTCTACTATTTCTTTAAAAAAAAAAAAAAATTTATTTATCTGACAGAGAGAGAGAGCACAAACAGGGGGAGTGGAAAAAAAAAAAAAAAGCAGGCTCTCCGCTGAGCTGGGAGCCCGACATGGGGCTTGATCCAAAAAAAAAAAAAAAATGACCTGAGCCGAAGGCAGACCCTTAACTGACTGAATCACCCAGGTGCCCCAGGTCTACTCTTAGAATTTTTATTATTTTTGCTGTTGTTCAAGTATAGTTGACATACAGTATTATACTAGTTTCAGGTATACATAGTGATTTGACAATTCTATATATTACAAAAAAAAAAAAAAAAGCGTAGTCATCATCTGCCACCATACAACACTAGTACAATATTAAAAAAAAAAAAAAAAATACTGTACTTTTCATCTATATGACTTACTTATTTTATAACTGGGAGTTTGTGCTTCTTAATCCCCTTCACCTACTTTGCCAGCCCCCCTATCTATGCCCCCTAAAAAAAAAAAAAAATTGTTCTCTATATTTAAGAGTCTGTTTTTTGTTTTTCATTTGTCTTATTTTTTAGAGTCCACATATAAGTAAATCATGTATTTGTCTTTCTCTGTCTGCCTTAAAAAAAAAAAAAAAATACCTTCTAGATCCATCCATGTTGTTGCAAAAGGCAAGGTTTCAAAAAAAAAAAAAAAATCTAAATATCATGCTCCACTAAAAGGAACTAGGGTGCCCTAAAAAAAATGATTAGTTCTAGAGCTGGAGCAAAGCTCTCTTCTATTATGTTCCTGTCAAAGCTATATTCACTGAATGCAATCACCAGGAAATACCAGATAAACTCAAACTGAGGGAAATCTTAGAAGACAGGTTGCCTATAATTATCAAAGGTATCAAATCAAGGTCATGAAAATCAAAGAGAAACTGAGGAACTGTTTCAGAGTGAAAAACACTAAAAGATGTGACATCTATACAGAACAAAAAAAAAAAAAAATTTTGCTCTAACAAACATTATTGGGAGGATGGGCAAAACCTGAAAAAAAAAAAAAAAAAGAAGGGAAATAATATATCAATGTCAATTTTCCAATTTTGACCTCTATATTTTGGTTGTGTTGGAGGATGTCCTTGATTATAGGAAATGCACACTAAAGTATTAAACAATGAAGACAGAGGAGGTTAACAACTTATTCACAAATGCCTGAAGTAATCAAAATTTGTATTTCCAATTGTGACTGTCTCAAAAATTAAAACAATTATTTAGAAAATGAAGTGGGTGAAAGAGAAAAATTGAAGGGAAAAAAGCATGGTTAATGATTAATGAAATTAAATGCAAAAAAAAAAAAAAAAATTGGTCCTACTCATCATTTCTTAAGAATGGTGATAATTAGTCAAAAAAAAAAAAAAAAAAATGAAAAATCAAAAAAACAAACAAACAAAAATAAATCCGAACAAAAAAAAAAAAAAAACACTTCCAATTTTAAAGATCACAGTATTCTGCATTATTTTAAATTAAGATTTCTTGCTTTCTGTTTTCATGATTTTAATTTTTACTTTATTATATCATCTCTAATTTGAGTTAAGTAGTTTTCCAACATTATGCTACGAAAAATAACATTAAAACAAGTATCATTCTGAAAACTGGCTAGCTTTTATTTTCTGTATGCTTAACATTTAACATCCACTTTCAAAAAAAAAAAAAAAATTTTAAAAGATTTTATTTATAAGAGAGCGAGCGAGAGCACACGAAAAAAAAAAAAAAAAGCAGACGGAGAAGCAGACTCACCGCTGAGCAAGGAGCCAATGAGGGGCTCGATCCCAGGACCCTGCAATCATGACCTGAGCCGAAGGCTAACGCTTAACCGACAAAAAAAAAAAAAAATCCCCTTTTTTTATACCTTTTAACAGCATTTTTAGGCCATATAGAAAAAAAAAAAAAAAGTAATGTACAAAGTGCCCAACATCCAGTTTCCAAAGAATCATCAAAAAAAAAAAAAAAATATGAATAATTATTTGAAAATTTTATACCACTGGTTTTCAAAACAAAAAAAAAAAAAAAACAACCATGTTTATGGAAAACTGAGCATCCTAATCCTGCTTCAAAAAAAAAAAAAAAAATCATCTATTTTACACTGGGCTCCTCTGTAAGAATTTATTTGGATAAAGGGTTCTACTGCTCTCAAGTTTGAAAACTGATTCAAACTTCCACTTTGAGCTTATAATTAGATGAGGGTGGGGTGGGGGTCAATTAAAAATAAAAACACCCAGAACTGATACAGAAGTTAGAATTAGCAGACAAGAACAGTAAAGTAGTATTTATAACTGTCTCTCTCACACACAAAAAAAAAAAAAAAAAAGGTAAGTACAGACATGGAAGATAAATGAATAGTGCTTAACTAAAAAAAAAAAAAAAAGCACTTGAAAAGTGCCAAGTGCAACTGAGGCACTAAAATTTTTAAAAAAAAAAAAAAATTTATTTGTTTTTAATAATCTTTACACCCTATGTGGGACTTGAAAAAAAAAAAAAAAAATCAAGAGTCACATGCTCTTCCGACTGAGCCAGTCAGGCATCCCACATTTTTCATTTTTAAATATATTTAAATTTAGCCACATGTAGCTGGCAGCTACCATACTGAACACAGCTCTAGAAAGTCTAGGGGAAGATGTCATCCTAGAGGGGTTCTAAGTGGAATAAAAAAAAAAAAAAATCTTAGATTAGGATGATTAAATCTTTACAAAAGTAAGCCTGCATAACCAAAAGTAAATTGAACCTGACTTCATTATGCCATCAATCTCTCTACCAAACCTTTCTATTAAACAATTCTACATATATACTCACTGCTACTAGTTATTACTATTCTTGTTCTCATAAAAAAAAAAAAAAAACTCTACCTCTTTGGAATTTGGGATACCATAGTGAAGAAATATAAAAAAAAAAAAAAAATTGTCCTAATCATTCTAGAGTTCTCAATATATTCTGCATTAGTAAAAAAAAAAAAAAAAAATACAAAGGTCTCTGAGTAGCAGGCATGCAAGAAATGCTTTTGAAAAAAAAAAAAAAAGAAAATAATACCTGAAAAGAAGACAAATTTATTTTATAAATAACTCTATAGTTTCAATTTTTAATTAGGCAAAACATTTTAAAAAATAAAATTGAGGCACACTCTCCACTGAAGACAACAGAAAAGTCAGGGGAAAAAATGAGAAATGTTTTTTAATCTTCTAAAAAAAAAAAAAAAATTCATTTATTTGAGAAAGAGAGAGAGAGAGAGAAAAAAGGAACAAAAAAAAAAAAAAAGGCAGAGGGAGAAGCAGACCCTTGCTGAGCAGGGAGCCCACTGTAAAAAAAAAAAAAAAAACACTAGGATCATGATCTGAGCCCAAGGCAGACACTTAACCAACTGAGCCACCCAGGCACCCCAAGAAATGTTTTTTTAATATATAAAAAAATTATTTCACATAGCTGACTTATGTTCTGTGTCTTTGATGCTAAAAATTATGAGGCAGCAGAATTCCTACAAAAAAAAAAAAAAATAAAAAAGTTCTTTTAAGACTTTATTTATTAGGGAGAGAGAGAGAAAAAAAAAAAAAAAGCTCGGGGGAGAAGCAGAGGAAGAAGGAGAAGCAGACTCCCCACTGAGCAGGGAACGTGACTAGGGGGGCTCGATCCCAGGACTCCGGGATCATGACCTGGGCCAAAGGCAGATGCTTAACCCAGAGTCACCCAGGCGCCTCTAATTTTTAAATGTTTTACAAACAAACTTTCTGAAATAATTGTAGTAACTATTAATAAAGGAAACAGCAGTAGTGTGATAAAAAAAAAAAAAAATATTTTATCATGGTGGGGGAGGGCAAATATACTTCATGTAAAATAAAAAAAAAAAAAAATAATATGAAAAAGACATTTCTAAAATTGAGTTGTAAATGAATATAAAAAAAAAAAAAAAGATCTTAAGTGTACAGCTTGATGATTTTTTAGGACAACATTTTTAGGGAAAATCCTTCCATGGTTATCTCTTTGCAGATTTATAAATGTTCACCCACAGGTCAAAAAAAAAAAAAAAATACCATAATAACTATAATTAATAAAACCGTATCTCAAATGCTATAAAAAAAAAAAAAAACTAAATGTTTTAGCAGTAATTTTAGTTTAAATAAAAGGATAAAAAAAAAAAAAAAAAAATGACCTTCTGGCAAGTATGTCCATAGGGAAAGAAGTTATGTGCATGTTTTGGGCTATCTTGCTATTCAGAGACAAAAGGTAATGAAATAGTAATTTATCAGTTTTCTGGAGCTGTCAGAATAAAAAGACATTTGGTACATTTTATATATGCAAACAGGTACTAAAAAAAAAAAAAAAAGCTCTGGTGTAGGACTTTGAATAAAAGAAAAATTATTATATTTTATCAAACACCAATGCATAAAAACTGCACAAAAGTAACAAAATGGAAAGGGCACTGGGAAGAAATCAAGGCTATCTAAGAATAAACTAGGTCATTTCAGCTGGCTTTGGTTGCCAAGCAAAAAAAAAAAAAAACAGTTACCCTTTAGAATAATCCAGTCTTTAAGAGTTTTATTAAATTGTTTATTTCTTCTTCAAGACTTATACTAACATATTTAGGAATCAAACTAATAAGAAAAAAAAAAAAAAAAAAATGAAGGAAAATTAAAAACTCTAATGAAAGACAGGAGACAAAATATAACTTCCTCTTCCAAAGGATCAGAGAGTAATATAAATATGTTAATTATCTTCAAATTAAAAAAAAAAAAAAACCCAAATCCAATTTTTTGGGAAGGGGTAGGAGTTATCAAAATAAAAAAAAAAAAAAAAAAGAAATAAATAAAATATAGTAGCTAGTTGGGGGTGCCTGGGTGGCTCAGTCGGTTAAACATCTGACTCGATCTCTACTCAGGTCTTGATCTCAGGGTTTGAGCTCAGACCTGCACTGGGCTCCACGCTAGGCATGCAGCCTACTTAAAAAAATAATAATAATAAAAAAAAAAAAAAAATATAGTAACTATTTAATGGCTGAAAAGAGAGTAAAGAATGGGGCTTTGCCCTATTCAATAGATCAATACTGGAGACATGAGCCCTAGGGACATGGAAACAGGAAAAAAAAAAAAAAAAATCCAAAAGGTAGTCTGGATTAGACACTGAGTGCATACCAAGTAAAAAAAAAAAAAAAGACGGCACATGGGCCATGCAAGCAGAATGTGTATGCATGTCTAGAAAAAAAAAAAAAAAATATTGTAAGTAGGGAAAAGCAAGTATATGGAAAACTAGAACATGACAAAGGACAAGTTTCACATGTGTTGATAATAACAAATGGGTTATTCAAAAAAACAATAAAAAAAAAAAAAAACACTGGGAGTTAAAAAGAAAAAAAAAAAAAACCAAAGCCTACTCAAAAAAAAAAAAAAAAAAATATTTCTAATAAAACAAAAATTTAAACATTAAAATAAAAACAGCTAGGGGCGCCTGGGTGGCTCAGACGGTTGGGTGTCTGCCTTCAGCTTGGGTCGTGATCCCAGGGTCCTGGGACTGAGCCCCGCATTGGGCTCCTTGCCCTGCAGGAGGCCTGCTTCTCCCTCTCCTTCTACTGCTCCCCCTGCTTGTGCTCTCTCGCTCTCTCTGTCAAATAAAAAAAAAAAAAAAAAAAAAAAAATAAAAAATAAAAATAAAATAAAAACAGCTAAAACACAAAAAAAAAAAAAAAATAGGTAAAAACAAAGTTTTTAAATGTTGCTATGCTAGGTCTTTAAAAAAAAAAAAAAAAAATCAGAAACCATAATACAATCTTAAAGAGATTTGACTATTGTAAAAAAAAAAAAAAAAAACTGTATTAGCAGACAAAACTCAGAGACAGAAAGTAGAATGGTTGCCAGAGGCTAGGAGAGTTGGGGAATGAGGAATTAGTGTTTAGGGTACAGAGTTTCAGTTTGGGAAGATGAGAGAATTCTGGAGAAGATGGTGGTGATGGGTTACACAACGTGAATAAAAAAAAAAAAAAAGAACTGCACTTATAAATGGTTAAAATGGTAAATTTTATGTTACATATATTTTACCAGTTTTAAAAATGAAGAAAAAACTTCATTAACAGAAACCACTATACATAAAAAAAAAAAAAAAAATATTAAGTAAACAATAAGATGTAATTTCTCATCTAGCATATTAAAAAAAAAAAAAAAAAAACTGCTTGCTCACACATTATCAGTGGCAACTTAAGTAAAATATATTCTTTAAAAAAAGCATACAGGTAACATTTATCAAAATATAAAATATGCATATGCTAAAAAAAAAAAAAAATGAGGCCACAAATGTAAACCAGTAAGAAAATGTTGCCAAGTGTGAAAAAAAAAAAAAAAATGTTGCTACGGTGTTATTTGTAAAAGCATAAAATCGGAAACAATTTCAATGTCTATTAACAAGACACTGATAGATTATGGCTATCTTACAGAAGGGAGTATTAAAAAAAAAAAAAAAAATCATGATGTGGGGCGCCTGGGTGGCTCAGTCGTTAAGCATTTAAAAAAAAAAAAAAACATGGTCCCAGGGTCCTGGGATCGAGCCCCGCATCAGGCTCCCTGCTCGGCGGGAAGCCTGCTTCTCCCTCTCCCACTCCTCCTGCTTGTGTTCCCTCTCTCCTGTCTCTCTCTCTGTCAAATAAATAAAAAAAATCTTTAAAAAAAATTTTAAAAGAAAATCATGACGTAATTTTACCTTTATTGCCACAAAACAATATCCATGACACATTATACAGAAAAAAAAAAAAAAAAAAACATTAGGATTACACTGATGTAAAATTATATACATAGACAATTAAAAAAAAAAAAAAAAAAGGGGTACACACCAAACCGTTAGCAAAATGTTAGCTAATTAGCAAAAAAAAAAAAAAAGGATTGTTTTTCGATGTTGTTGTTATTTTTTACTTTTCTAGATGAAAAAAAAAAAAAAACATGAGAATGTATGCTATTTAGAATTTTTAAGTCAGTTTTTGATTTAAAAAAGTCTAATACCTAAAAAGTTTAGTATCTAACATCTCATTTACTAAGTTTATACAGGTTATTATATATCATTAATATCTCTTAGAACAAGTTAAGGATTATGCACAGAAGTTAAAAAAAAAAAAAAATGGAAAACTATCATTTAACTCAGTAGCTTGTACCATAATGACTTCCAACACAGAATCAAAGAGCTGGAGGAGTTTTTGCCTAGTGCAGGAGTATAGGGGCCACAAAAAAAAAAAAAAAAGTAAAAAACCTCTTTCCTGCTTTGTGGATTAATTTTTCTACCCAAAAAAAAAAAAAAATTACTATTTTAGCTACTACATATCAACCTGGAGAGACACAGAAAAAGTCAATATGAACTGTATCAAAATAAAAACTGAAAAATTAGGTTAGAGATGTTGATATTCTACATTCCACATTCATCTAGAAGAGTCAAAATTCATTTAATGACCGTTTCTATACAAAAAAAAAAAAAAAAATTAAATGTTAAGTTCAGTTACTTAACATCACAACAGAAACTTCACTCAAATTCTTAACGCCTCTATTATATATTCTGTACATTCTGTAAAAAGTTCCTTTTAGAAAAAAAAAAAAAAAAGATAGATAATATAAGTTTTTTCTTTTACTCATTAAGTTTCAAGGGAAAACTAACACAATTCCTAATACCATAACTTCAAACCTATTTCTAAGTACTATACTTAAAAAAAAAAAAAAAGATTTACACACACAATCTTTACTAATCTTTACATGCATCCCAACAAAAAAAAAAAAAAATGATTTTTTTCCCTCTGAAAAACAGAAAATTAATTTTACATTATTATACCATGTGTTCTTGTAACTAATTTTTAAAATGCCTTTAATACTTACAGCTTGATTAAAAAAAAAAAAAAAATTAAGTTCTCTGTGGTTGGAATACTGAATAAAAACAGGCTGGCTAAAAAAAAAAAAAAAAACAGGAGTGTAATAATTCACCATAGTAACAGCAGCTTCCTCAGAAAAAAAAAAAAAAAAAGCCTGCAATAAACACAAGAAAGCAAAGTGAAAGCTCATGTTTAAAAAAAAAAAAAAAACCTATGAAAAGACTTTTCCTTCAAAGTGTATCACTGATGTTAACTGAAAACACATTTGAAAAGTTGGGTTCAATAAAGGATTTGGGACTGGGAAATTTGCCAAAAAAAAAAAAAAAATCATGTGGTTTTTGGTTTCTTTTTTCTGTTTTTCTAAAATCTAGAAAAAAAAAAAAAAACAAAAATAAAGGTGAGCATCAGCACTGTAAATGGATGCTTTCAGGGGTTGGATTTAATAGCTCTTTCCTAAACAAAAACTTCTCCAAGATGCAGGGGGCGGTGAAAAAAAAAAAAAAATTTACTCTCCTTTACCTTCTACTAAACAGCTGTTTATGATACAAAAAAAAAAAAAAAAAAATTAAAAAGAGCATTCAGGTGCAAAAGCTCAATTGTTCAAATTAAAAAAAAAAAAAAACTTCCTACATTAAGTCAATATTGATTTGAGTCATTCAAGTGACTAAAAAAAAAAAAAAAGTTGAAAAATACAGAGGGATGCCTGGGTGGTTCAGTCGGTTAAGCATCTGCCTTCGGCTCAGGTCATGATCCCAGGGTCCTGGGATCTAGTCCCGCATGGGGCTCCTTACTCGGCGGGGAGCCTGCTTCTCCCTCTGCCTGCCACTCCCCCTGCTTGCGTGCAAAAAAAAAAAAAAATTCTGACAAATAAAATCTTTAAAAAAAAAAAAATTTAGAGACATAAAAAAAAAAAAAAAGTCACCTATACTAAGCCAAAGTCACCAAACCAAGACTTAATACCAAACAATTATAGTTTCAACCTCTCCCAAGAGTGGAATCTTAAACCAATCCATCTGGAAGAAAAAAAAAAAAAAAAGTGAGGTTATCTGCCTAACAGACCCCCACCATCCCTAAAGGAAAAAAAAAAAAAAAAACAGAATTCACTCTGCTAGTAACGTCCTTGTCTCACCCTATTCTGCCTATACAAGTCTTTCATGTTGCACTGTTCTTCATAGCTCCTTTCCATCTGCTAGATGGGATGCTGCCCAATTCATGAACTGCTGAATAGAGCCAATAAAATCTTTAAAATTTACTCAAAAAAAAAAAAAAAATTAATATCTGCAATCATTGTACTAATATCAGATATTTGAAAAATAAAAAAAAAAAAAAAGAGATGGAAGAAGATCCTTGGGACTTATGTCTTATTCTATATATAAAAAAAAAAAAAAATCAAAACTCCTGAAACTTCTGTGACAGGTTTTGCCACCCTATCTTAATGGTTAGTTAGGAAGATGAAATAGTAACCATTCTGACCCCTCAGAACTACCTGTAAAAAAAAAAAAAAAAAGAAATGCAGGAAGAACCCCTGATCCCAATCAATGCAAATTTCTAGTTAGACAATTCTTTCTCACTACAACAGAGCAAGTGTACAGTAACCACTTCAAATTATGAAAAAAAAAAAAAAAATTTATAAAAATATATATTTATTAACAACAAAATTTCCTGAGCAAAAAAAAAAAAAAAAATCTATAAAACAATTTATTTGTTTATAGTTATATTACTTGTTAAGTGTTTCTATTTGGCAAATATTCCAGTAAAGGAATATTAACTTGACAAATGTTAAATGTAAAAAAAAAAAAAAACAATCAAATGTCACAATTGAATCAATTAAATGCTTTAACGAACTAAAAAAAAAAAAAAAGGTAGTAATGTTAGCCACATGACAGTCGATCAAATATCATTAATAAAAAAAAAAAAAAAAGATAAAATTCCACTATCTTCAAGGAATAAATGTCCACAATGCAAAAAAAAAAAAAAAACCAAATGTATCAGTAATATACTTTTACTAGTTTTTCTAAGAGGTAAAAAAAAAAAAAAATAACCAAAACAGCTATAGCAATACTTCCTATCTGGTTTTTAATCAAAAAAAAAAAAAAAAAGTTGTAAACTGTTTGCTAATAATATTCACTATATGGGGGGAAGAGTATCTTTCTGAAAACTCCTTCAAAAATTCAAAGAACTAAACTCAATGACTAACAGTAAAAAAAAAAAAAAACTAAACGTCTTTGGAATACATGATTTCTGTTATAGAAAATTTTTAAAAAAAAAAAAAAAAACCTAAAAATTCATATGTAAAAATAATTTTTCCACATGGAGCCAAAAAAAAAAAAAAATAGGTTTTCCCAAAGTATCCAGAGAAATCCATTTCCATAATAAGAAAAAAAAAAAAAAACCAAAATTCACTACCCACAGAAAGGCTGGTGCAAATATCCCCCAAAAAAAAAAAAAAAATCTACCTCTAAGTACCATAGGAGAGATTATACCTACAAGTAGTTAAAAAAAAAAAAAAAACACTCTCTTGCTAAAGTATACTACTAACAAAATATTTTCTAAACAGGATTTACGATCCAAAGATAAGCAATTAACCTAACAGTCAGCACTACAGATAAATAATAAATACAGAACCAATGGTAGAGACAAAGACAAAGTGTGATGTTGCCTGCTGCCCCTCATAACCATTTGACAGAATGTACAGGATACAGTACATGAAACATGATAATGTACATGATATATATACATGACAAATCTCACAGCCATTAGACTTGGCCAGGTTGGCTCTTTTAAAACTACACAAACCACACTATTCTCAATAGTGGCAATTGAGTTAAAATAAAGATCCAAGTGCATGTACTATCTCCAAAAGATGCATGATGTGTAAACACAACAAAAGTTGAATACTAAGACATGTAAAAAAAAAAAAAAAGATTTAAATAACTTCAACTGAATTAAATGGGAATGTTTATTTAGTTTACTAAAGGGCCAGAATCTTCCAATCTCTTTCATATCCAACACGTATCACTCTATTTATAAATCTATTTATAATGTATCTTAAACTTATTTATGAAAATTCTAAGAAATAGGGATTAAAAAAAAAAAAAAACACAATGTCTAGGGCCTAAATTTGTTGTCCTCCTCTTATAGCAAAAAAAAAAAAAAAAAGTTTTCAGGACAACCAAAAACTGGGAAAGAACTAAAGAATTCATCCTAGTGGGGTCTAAGCTGGAACAAGAAAGCAGATTGTTCAAATTAACATGAAAAGTATTGTATTTTTGTCATGGTCACCACAAAAGCAAGTTTCCTTATTCACCTTAAGAAAAACCTATTAACATCTGAAATGAAAAACTTCTAACAGTCTCTTTGGAATTATTAAAGAAACCGTAAAAAAAAAAAAAAAATAAAATATACTATACATTTCTATAAAGATTTTGGAAAACTTAAAAAAAAAAAAAAAAAATAAGATTTTATTTATTTATTTCAGAGAGAGAATGAGAGATAGAAAAAAAAAAAAAAAAAAGGGTCAGAGGGAGAAGCAGACTCCCTGCTGAGCAGGAAGCCCAAAAAAAAAAAAAAAACCGGGACTCCAGGATCATGACCTGAGCCGAAGGCAGTCGCTTAACCAACTGAGCCACCCAGGCGCCCAGGAAACTTAAATGTTCTTTAATTGACAAATAAGGTATAATTTATATCCTCTCTGTCTTGGTCTTCTGATAACCAAAGGATATTTTCATAAACTATTTTGTAACTAAGAATATAAAATGTTTTTTGTTAAGGAAGAAAAGGACAAGTCACTGAAAAAAAAAAAAAAAAATGTCTGTGTTAATATTTTTGTTTGTTGCTTCCTGTCACGCACACAAAAAAAAAAAAAAAAAAAACTACTTATGTAAAGCAAATGAAATTTAGAAAAAACAGAAAAAAAAAAAAAAAAAGATCTTTAACACTAATACCCAGAGATAATCACTGTGGTTCAATCAAAAAAAAAAAAAAACCTGGCTTTTTCCTTTCAACATCAAAACATTAGTAACTTTGCCAAAAAAAAAAAAAAAAGATATGACCTCTGCTTCGGTGACATCACTTGGAATTTTGCGAAGAAAAAAAAAAAAAAAAGGCGAACAGGGAGGTCTATCTCCTTTAAATTTCTTGTTGTCATTCCCATTAGCTAAAAAAATATAAGATTTTTTGAAATTACTGAAACTATTTTAAGTTGACAAAAAAAAAAAAAAATATTGTCACGTTTCATCCTCCAATAGTTTTAGTTTTTGAAATTCAGGACACTATGGGGATCAGGGAAGAGAAGGAAAGTGGAAAACCATCCACCTTCAAAGAATAGGTGTTTTTGTTTTTTCACTGCAAGTATTAAATTTGTTAAAAATTCAAGTCTGATTTTTAACTTCAAGGAAAAGCATTGGATAAATAAATTACGTTTTTAGAGGTATCTCATACCTAAAAAAAAAAAAAAAAAAGAGTCAACTATTTGTTGTGAGTAGAGAACAATGTTTAGGTAAAAAAAAAAAAAAAATTTTAATCATCTTTTCAACAAAGAAGTTATTTATTTATTCATGAGAGACAGAGGGGGAGGGGGGGGAGAGAGAGAGAGAGAGAGAGAAGCAGGCTCCCAGGAGCAGGGAGCACGATGCGGGACTCGATCCCAGGACCCTGGGATCATGACCTGAGCCGAAGGCAGACGCTTAACCATCTGAGCCACCCAGGAGCCCTTTATTTTTATTTTTATTTTAAGATTTTATTTATTTATTTGACAGAGAGAGACACAGTGAGAGAGGGAACACAAGCAGGGGGAGAGGGAGAGGGAGAAGCAGGCCTCCCGCGGAGCAGGGAGCCCGATGCAGGGTTTGATCCTAGGACCCTGGGATCATGACCCGAGCTGAAGGCAGACACTTAACAACTGAGCCACCAAGGCGCCCCTCTAATGTATTTTCAGAGATTTTTTCCTAATTATTAGTTTTAGTGCTAAATAAATAAGAATAACTTTTAGTAAAGATTATGAAAGAAATTTTATATTTACTACATCCTGAGGGGATTTGGTTTTGAGCTGTATCAAATTAAGTTTATTTCTTAGGCATTATGTTTTTACTAATCTTTTTATGAAGTTTTTTAGAAGCTAAACTGTGGTTTCCTAATATAATCTTATTACTAATTATGTTGCAGTAGGTCTTAACATAAGCATCATCTTGTTAGAAAGGCAAATTTTCAGCCCTACCCCAGACCTACTAAATCAGAAGCTTGGGGTGGGACCCAGTAACCTATGTTTTAACAAGCCCTCCAGATGATTTCAATGCAATCTGAAGTTTGAGAACCACTGCTGCACAATAAAGAAATCCATTGGCCCAGTTTACAGCTAAATTTTATTTAAATCCTTTTAACACTGACAATAACTAGAACTGACAAGCCTGTAATGAATACTCAAATTTATGTACATAAGATTCAGAAATGTTTTTCCCCAAAAATAGTACCATGTATGACTGAATGAATGCAAATTATCTGAAAGCCCTGAGTTTCATTACAGTGGGTTTTTTTAAATGCTAAATAGTACCATACTTAGCACTATTAGGAGTAAAATACAATCTTTCCAAATGCCTAAAATTATCATTTTTCCAAACATTAATGGACCTTTGCAAACAAATAACATGAAGACCACATAAAAATTATATGGCAATATTCTGTACCCATATCTGTGGCCCAGAACTCGACTTGCTTACAAGTGGGTAGGTTGACTTAATAACCCAAGCCAGCACTCACTCCCAAATTTTCTGTTCATGAATGCAGGCAGCATCGTACCCAGACCCCGAAGACTATCAATTCCTATAGGGCCTTAGTGGCTGTGCCTGTATATAGCAAATGCCTAGCAAGACTGCAAATAACAGGCAGTCAAATATTTATTGCAAATAAATCTGGGAGGCAAGAGATTCTTTTCCCTCCTCTCAATCACCCAGAAATACTGATTTTTCCCTCCAAAATGACTGATTACATTTTTCATGTCCACTCTCGATGTCATTAAGTTCACCTATGATCTTCCCCCTTCTATTCTGCCTTCCTCTAGCCTTACTCCCCCCTCTACCATCACTCAGATCTAACATCTTACCAACCAAACTAAAATAGTGTATCACATCACTATTCTGCTTTAAACACCCTGATGGGCTTCCAACCACCTAGAATGTCCCTTAGTTTCTAGTTTTCACTTATACTGCCTCATTTGAGTTGACAATATATCTGAGATAAATCTTACTAATTTTAACAGATGAAGAGACAGGTCCAGAGAATAAATGATTTTTGTACAGTTAGCAAGTGTAAAAAGTGTCATTCAAACTAAAGTTTAAAGGTAGTATTTTTTGGGTGCCTGGGTGGCTCAGTTGGTTAAGCAACTGCCTTCGGCTCAGGTCATGATCCTGGAGTCCCGGGATCGAGTCCCGCATCGGGCTCCCTGCTCAGCGGGGAGTCTGCTTCTCCCTCTGACCCTCTTCCCTTTCATGCTCTCTATCTCTCATTCTCTCTCTCTCAAATAAATAAATAAAATCTTTAAAAAAAAAATAAATAAAGGTAGTATTTTTTAGCACAAAAATCTCAAAGTGTCTTACCATTCCTAGAAAAAAGCAAGCAACTTGATACTGACATAAATTTTCAAAGTATGTGCAGATTTATGTGGATTATAATGGTAACACTGTCACGAAATCAGAACCCTACATATCATGTTCTAGATAGGAGCGAAAGGGCACGGGGTGTGCCCTTTTGCACCCTCCTGGTAGGCCTAGATGGCCAGACAACAATACTATCATCTTGTATTTTCTTAACCAGTACAAGGTGTTAAAAAACTGGAAAAACATCCTAAAAGCAACAGATTTTATCAATTTACCCAGAATACTCCAAAACAAATGAACATTTAGAAGGTTGTTTAACAGAGGTTTTAATCATTACCTTTGTGAGTAAAAATGAATGCCTATATATGCTATTTGAGCTTGTGTTAGACTATCAAATAAAGACCTATGGTAAGGGACACCTGGGTGGCTCAGTTGGTTAAGTGTCTGCCTTCGGCTCAGGTCATGATGATTTCAGGGTCCTGGGATCGAGCCCCGCACCTGGCTCCCTGCTCGGCGGAGAGCCTGCTTCTCCCTCTCCCTGCCGCTCTGCCTACTTGTGCTCTCTGTCAAATAAATAAAATCTTAAAAAACAAAAAACCCATGGTAACAAATTTTTATTGAGAAATATGCATTAGGGGTGCCTGGGTGGCTCAGTCGGTTAAGCGTCTGCCTTCGGCTCAGGTCATGATCCTAGGGTTCTGGGATCGAGCCCCGCATCAGGCTCCTTGCTTGGCGGGGAGCCTGCTTCTCCCTCTGCCTCTCCCCCTGGCTTGTGTGCACACTCTCTCTCTTTCAAATAAATAAATAAGATCTTAAAAAAAAAAAAAGAAATATGCAATTATAGAAACCCACCATTTTAGGCTAATTGTTCTGAATTATAAAAGTGCCTGAACTATGTTAAGAGCATGGGCTATTAAACCAGACAACCTGTTCTAACCACGTTACCTGACATAGCTGAGCCTCAAATTCTTTTCCAAATGAATATAATAACAAGACTATTTTGAAAATTAAATTAGATAACATAAATACTAGATGTAGGGGCACCTGGGTCGCTCAGTGAGTTAAGCATCTGCCTTCCGCTCAGGTCATGATCCCAGGGTCCTGGGATGGAGCCCCACATCAGACACCCTGCTCAGCAGGGAGTTTGCTTCTTCCTCTCACTCTGCCCCCCCGCCCCTGGCTCATGCTCTTGCTCGCACTCTTGCTCGAACTTTCTCTGTCTCTCAAACAATAAAAAATCTTTAAATACTAGGTCTAATGCCTAGCATATAGTAATCAATAATATGTCTCGATTTTCTTAGGGAGGACTATTTTACCTGGAAGTGATGTTCTTTCTACCTTTTTGGTATTAAAATGAAGACCGTAGGTGACAGTGACTTTTTTCTCTTGATGTGCTTACTTAGCAAAATTTAAGACATTGCTCAAAATTAACTAAAAATTTTATTATTCTATGAAATCTAAAAATCTAAGAACTACTCATCTAGATGACCCCAGAAAAGGTTATAGCCAAAGACTTGATGAATATAATAATCTGAAAATGGAAAATATACAAGCAATCACATGGCCATGATTTACTAAAAGTCAACAGGAAACAAGGAAATTCTAATGTATTAAATACATGACTTTGAAGAATTACTCTGTACAAAATACATTAGAGACTTCCCCAAAATTTTATTATGAAAATCAGCATTCAAAATACTCAGCTTGTAAAAAAATCTTGATTTTATTAAACAATATATTGAAAACTACTGAATGCCTGCTACATATTAGGTTACAAAGGAAATAAGTAGAAGAGTCTTTTTTTTTAAAACCATGGGCATTTTTATAAATCAACTGTTTTGACATTTCATAATTGGGAGACAGCAGTGTTTTAAAACAGAGCATTGAACTTGAACTCTAGAACACCTGATCTGCTACTTGTTAACTAACAATATGTGGGCAAGTTACCTAATGTCTGTTTTCTCATCTGTAAAGCCTAATAAATGGAAATGCTGGTACTTTAAAAAGTCCAAAAATATAACATCAACTGAAAATTCTGAACCAAATTTAATTTCTTTTATCATCAAAAGTTAAGATACATTTTCTTCAGTATTAGGAATCTTGATTCTTAATATAAAATAAATTATCACGTCTTATAAATTTTATATTTATAGCTGAATGGTTCTTCAATCATCACTGCCACTTCCTGATTCACTCAGCTGCAAATCATTTCTTAAAGTATTCATCAGAAGGCCACTGTTGTCATGAGATCTACTCTGGCCAGCATCCGTATCAGGAATCTTGCAATGTGGCATGGCAGACATGGCAGGATGTCCTGAGATATAATCCTCTGGATCAGAAGGAGAGGATCTGCACTCTTCATTGTCTGAATCACTGGAACTGTCCTCACTACTTGAAGATGATGAACTTTTGGAATCCGATGAACTATCACAACTACTCATCTGGTCCATTAGACTAGCTTCTGCCTTCAGTTCTCTCTCAATATCATCCATTGGAGATGCTGGGGACATTTTGTCTTCAGATGGAGAGTGTTTCACAAGATGGGGAGTCCTGGCTAAAGTCTGCA